GGGAAAGCGGGCACGGGGAGCGGGGGGCTCCTGCCCTCCGGGGAGGGCAGCAGGCTGCTGCCTTCGCCCCTCAGTCCTCCAGGCTGCCTGAGGAGCCCCGCTGAGGGCTGGACCCCCGCGGGAGAGGCAGATCAGCCTGTGTTAGCAGCACCTCGCCCAGGGCCTCATGTGTGTGTGTTTTTCTTTTAGGAAGTGGAAGCCTTAGTCTCCCACTGGAACCTTTATATCAATCTGGGAGGCTTCTTCGTTGGTCTCTTCTCCGTGACTCTCTTTGGGCCATGGAGCGACAGCGTAGGTCGCCGTCCAGTGCTTATCCTGCCTGCAGTAGGTATGGCCTTGCAAGCGGCCATCTATCTTCTCGTCATGTACCTGCGGTTGCATGTTGGGTACTTTCTCCTTGGACGCATTTTGTGTGGCCTCATGGGAGACTACAACCTGATCCTGGCTAGCTGCTTCGCCTACGTGGCTGACACCAGCGACAAACGTGCACGTACGTTTCGCGTAGCCATTCTCGAGGCCTGCCTTGGCATAGCAGGCATGTTAGCCAGCATTGGTGGTGGCCAGTGGCGCAAAGCGCAGGGGTACATCAACCCCTTTTGGCTAGTGTTTGCTGCTAGTCTTGCTGCTGCTCTCTATGCTGTTTTCTGTCTTCAGGAATCAGTGAAGCAGCGGAAACCAGCAAAGCTGTTCACTCTCAGTCATTATATGGCTGTGTACAGGCTATATGCAACTCCAGAACGCCAGAGCTCCAGGCAGAAACTTGCACTCTACTCCGTGGCTTTCTTTCTTATTGTCACTGTACACTTTGGAACCAAGGACCTCTATGTTTTGTATGAACTTGGCTCCCCTCTTTGCTGGACCTCTGATCTCATCGGGTATGGATCAGCCGCTAGTTACCTGGCTTATCTGAGCAGCCTGGCAGGGCTGCGGGCACTGCAGCTGTGCCTTGAAGACGCCTGGGTGGCAGAGATTGGACTGATCTCCAATATTTCTGGATTGGTTGTGATTTCTCTTGCTGCTACAACACCGCTGATGTTTACAGGTGATGCCAAATTCTTAAATCCCTATATCTCAGGGTCTTAGCTTAGAGATGGCAGAACATGCAAGAGAGCAGTGCGCTCTTGGGAGAACAGTCAGGTGGAGGAAGTTCTGCCTCCGTTTCAGCCCAGGTACCCACAAAACTATGGCTTGCCAACAGCAAAGTTGGCCAAACACTAAATTTGAAACTGCAGCCATATAGTTCATACAATGACAAGCTTCCAAAAAGCCTTACAGGTAAGGTATTACTCTGCATGCAGAGGCAAAAGAGCCACTGTGAAAAGCAAGAGGGTGAATTGGGACTGAGAGGTAGCTGGGAGAAGCAGTCTGGAGCTATACATTTATGGGATTGACTTTGGAGGATTTGTTTAGAGTTTTAAGTCACTATTGCTTCAGCTGAACTTTCTCTGATGTGTCATATCTTGCTCACAGGTTATGGGATTCTGTTCCTTTCGATGGCAGCCACCCCAGTCATCAGAGCCAAACTCTCTAAGCTGGTGAATGAAACAGAACAGGGTAAGGAATTAGCCAGTATGTTTAAACCAGGTCCCAAAACACTGTCCTCTTGGAACATTGAAACCAAACTGCTTTGAGAGGTCAGGACTTCCCTAGCTCCTTTGGACTCCTTTTATGCCCATGCCTGCTCTCTCAGGCCTTGGGTGACACTTTAATGTGTCAGAATAATTGTCAGCTTTCACTACTGTAGACTTTTTTAAGATAAGGACAAGAAAAGAAAGCAAGATGAAAAGTATTGCATTCAACCTCAGGAATGGATCATCCCCTGGCCTGTTCATTTTCAAAACTTTCTTGAGGAGCAAGAGTTAAAATGGACTACATAACATGCAGAAAATAGCGATTTCCCTCAGCATGACCCTTCACGGTAGATCAGTAACAGTGGGTAGAAACTCAGTGTTGTTAGAGAGTTTTATCATTGACCATGGTGAAGGATCATGGATACCCCCTAGTAATTTATTTGAAGAGCTTGCGCTTGCTGTTAAAGTCTGCCTGGGAATACCTCTGCAGGCAGAGAGAGGGAAGGAGGGGTTTGAGATGGGAAGGATCCAGAAGTGACTTTGCAGAATTATTTCTTGTATTAGAATGAAGATGGCATACACTTGATACCTGCTTTATGATGCTAACCCTGTAAAAGGCAGTGTCCTGCTGTACTTAATATTTAACAAATGATAAGATGTGCTTGGCAATAAATAGATACAGATAGCCTCTTCTGAGGCATTTACAATCCAGCTCGTATGTAATGTCCCTGGTCAGCTCTGGTGGTACAAATTCTGGAAGTCAGTGAGGTAGTCTTGCATACAGAGAAGCTGAGCAGCATCTTTGGGCTGCTTGGCGAGGTGCAGTATGCCTGATCTCTGCTCACAGCTCTTGCCTCACCACACTTGACAGTGCAGACACCAGTTTTCTGTGAGTATTTCTGTGAGTATTTCGGAAAGATTCACAGAATCCCATTGAAGGAGGAAGGTGGTAAAGACATTTCAGCTGATGATTCGCAGACAGGGCTGTCATATCATTAACTCTTTTATGTCTTTTCCAGGTGCTCTCTTTGCTTCTGTTGCCTGTGTGGAAGGGCTGTGTTCACTTGTGGCTGCAGGAGTGTTCAACTCTCTCTATCCTGCCAGCCTGCACTTCATGAGGGGATTCCCCTTTCTCTTTGGGGCTCTGATTCTTCTTATTCCAGCAGCTATTATTGGGTAATTTGCTTCCTGTTTATAAACTCTGCCTGAGGACCTCTGAACTGTAATATAAAAACTGCTGTTTACTCTTCATAGAACAGGAGCTCAACAATAATTTTTTAGGGTGTGTTTTCAATTGTGTTTATGGGAGGGAGTTTAGTGCCCTGGTAAGCGGAGGTGCAACTCCGTTTCTTCTAGCATCAGAGTCATAGGGGTAAACCTACAGCCCAAGTAATGTAACTCCCCACATTGAGAGCGTTTCAAAGTCTCACTCCAAAAGTTGAATCCAAACTCTGGGGTTGAAGGTGTGTACTGCCCATAAAGCTCTACATGGAAAGCAGCATCTCAAAAGGATGATGCAAAAAAGTTGCATGCTGAGAGTAGTGTGACTCTGAGGCTGCTGTCACCATAATGCCCTGGAAGTGGCACAAAAGTCCTTTTGGAATGGAAGAGATGGAATTCTCTTAGCCTAAGTCTGTCTTCCTGTAATTACCTCACTAAAAAGCAAAAGTAGTGTCAGTAGTGATAGAAAATGAATTTCCTGGTTAGTCCTGGGAGAGAGGATGTGTTGAGATTTGTGGTAGAAGTGCAACAGCTCCTGGCAGGGTCATTTCTGTTACTGTGAACCTTTAAAACTCACTTTGTGCAAAAAAGTTCCAGTGTGCCTTCTTAGGCTCTAACTCTGTTCTTTCCTTCTTAGGTGGATAGAAGTCTGGGACTCAAAGCTGGAATACAGTCACTTCTCAGATGCTTCCCTGTCACTTGCAGACAGCTGAACAGAGACATAGCGACAATGGATTGGCTGGCTCCGCAGCATCCATCTGAGGACTGCTATGTGTTCTTCCCTTGGAGGACAGATCAATGTGTGAGGGACACCTTGCTTATCATTACTAATTTTTAAATGCCAAGTAGTTGGGAATCATGGCTCTCCAGTAGCTGATTTGCAAGTGTGAATGCCTCCTCACTGTTCTGTTGATTCGTCTGTCAGAGAAAACCCAAGAGACTCAGACTCAAAAGCTATTCAAGAATAAAAGCTATTGTTGGCCATTTGCAAGGCCAATTAGTGATTTCTTTCTTCTCCCTTTTTTTTTTTTCTTTTTTGGAGGTTTTTGTGCCATACTTTTCGTGATGGGAGAGGATGGAATTCTCACTTATCTGCCAAGCATGTTCCCCTCTGAGTACTGCAGTGTGCAGCAGATCAGCTGTTGGCGTGGATGAGAGTTGTAGAGCAGAGCTGAAGCAGACGAGTAGCCCATCGGTGTGCTACCAAGGAAAGAGGGCTGTGTTCCAGATCAGTGTGTTGTGAATAAAAGAATTGCATCAATGTCATAGTCCATGCTAGGCTCCTGCAAAAATCCTTATCATAAGCAGTAGTTTTTCACAGGAGTGCTGTTGTTGTCACTACTTAGTAAACTGGTTTTGGTTTCACAAGTTAGATGTGTCCTCTATGACATCTAATGCATGAAGCACCTGTAGTTGCAAGCGCCAGTGGCACGTCCTGTTTGTCCATGTGCAACTCAGCCCAGGATTTTGAAGGTCGTTATGAGAAGTAATAGCTCAGGTGAGAATACTAAGGCACAAGCTGGTACCTTGATTGGCAGTGGCTAAAACTGACAAAGTTAAGGCTAAAATTGACAAAATTGGGCCCCCTCCCTTAAGACCTTTACATTATAAATTTAAGGGTCCAACTTTGAGAAGTATGTGCTAGAAGGCTTGTGAAACTGCTGCTGTGTTTATGGTAGAGCCAGAAGCAGTCCTTTCTAATTGGTAGACTGTGCTGTTGGGATGATCTGGTGTGGGGACAAGACTGGTATCTTTAGAGGTGAAATATTATGTTGTATGAGGCATAATTTTGTCTATGTGACCTCTCTTGGGCTGACCTTCTCAGGGTAGATTGATGCCAGCAAGCCACTTACGTAGTTGTTTTCCCAAACCCCAGTGTTCCTATTATTCCTAATTGTTCTTTTAAAAGCAATTAAGCATTGCCTCAATCATATTTTCTTCAAACTGTAATAAATGAACAGTTCTGATGATAAGCATTGTACCCAGCGTTCAGAGATGTAGGCAGTAACGTCCTTACTGTGAAATTGCTTAGCAGATATGTTACTTCCAGAATTAATAAAATCTCCATTTTCTTTTATGGCTCATAAAAAAGATAGCTTTTGTGGTACAGCTATTTGTATGATTTGTCCTTGACTCATGCGGTGCTTATCTCTCCACTATTTTCATGCTTCACTATTCAATTAAGACTTTGCAGTAAAGAAGCAACAGCAGGAAGTTATCTGCTGTGTGGGGAATGAGTATGTCAGAGCCTCGAGTCAGGAGGAATGCAGTTGTGGGACTTGCAAGATGCTATAACCTGCTTTTCCTGAATACCAGAGTGAAGCTTGCAGCTTACTCTGTAGCCCGTCCTTGAATACACAGTAAACGTGAAATGCTGATATACAACTTTGTTCCCTGTTCATTAGGAGTTTGTTGATAAGAACAGGAGAATTTGCGAGTGAGAAGACAGAAGATGAAGATGTGGGGAGGTTTTAAGAACTTGGTATTACGCCACTTGATTCTTTTAGCTGTGCCAGTGGACATAAGCAGGAGTTACTTGTGCAATTCAAAGGCTAAGCCCAGAATTAGCCTCCAGCCAAAAGAGGGCATGCTGTGAATGCTGTGTTAGATGTTTGTGGCTGAACTGGTTGTGAAGTTCACCAACAGAGTCCATGGATGCTGATGCTACCAGTTGCTAAACACTGCAGTGAAGTGAAACTGTTATGTACTGGCTCTCCTTTCCTGTTTATGTGTCACTGTGCTTGCAAAGGAGAAGTTCAGTGGGAACTATTATAGACAAAAATGTAGGCTCTCTTCCAAGAACTACAACCCTGAAGCAAATACACGGTCCAAGTAGCGTGACTGCAGGCAGCAAGTGGAATATAGCGAGCTACACGAGGCCATGCAGGGATGAGCACGAAGTGTGGGCTCCCACAGAGAACGGTGTCTGGACAACTTAGAATTCTGTTGTCAGCCCCCTCAGAGGATGAGAAAGCATGATGGCAAGAGAACAGGTGGGAGAAGGCTGCAGGCACATGACACAAACAAAAAGAGATGGGGATTTAGAGTATAAACCAAATTTATTAACAGTAGCTGATAGAACAACTTTGAAGTCTTTCTGATATGACATGACAAAGGAATAAGAAAAGATGAGAACGGGGAAGCATTTATCTCTTCAGGATCTTCTGCTCTGACTGGAAGGGGTTGGATATGGGATGCTTTGCCAAGAGCAGAGCAAGTTCATTGGGGTGAAGGTAATAGAATGATGGGGAAACAGGAAGAGTTACAGTCTGGGCAGCTGGAGCAAGAGATGGGTTCTCATTGCAGGCAAAACCACCTAAGCTGTAGAAGACAACTAAATCTTCTCTATATTGAATGGTGGGTGAAAAGGTTAAATGACAGAAAGCTCCTGGGAAACCAGAAACCCTTTTTATACAAGATTCTTGCTTCTGGTATCTTTCTAGGGGTTTTGTGTAGTGTTGTAGGCAGCAAAATCTTTAGGACTCTTTGTGTGGGACTCCTTCAGTGGGCATGGGGGCCTTGACCTTCAGTCAGTGACTCAAAACCTTTCCCTGGAGCAGCTCACATAAAAGCCCTGTGGCTTTTATCCTTTGGCAGGTTCACCTTTGGGCTCATCTGCTGGCTTCCTCATATTTAATCTGAAGATTAGATTGTTTCTGATTAATGCTGGGCGGATATGGCCATTAACCTTCTTTCCCCAGAAAGCAGAGATGCCATTAACTGTGAGCTGGTAAGAACTATCCGTAAAGATGTGATTAAGCACTAGAATTTTTTTTCCCCTCAGATATTCATGAATCTAAGCCAAAGCAAATGCTTGTGTTCCTGAAAGTTAAGGCAGGCAGCAAGGCTTCAGGGAGAGCCAGGAGAAGGACACGGTGACTCGGTGACTCCTGGACTGGAACATAGCTGAGCCTCCTCATTACCTCCTGAAAGGTTAGGGTTATTCTGAGCAGGGACAGACTGAGGAGCTTTCTGCCTTATGTTCTGCAGCAGGGGTGCATCAGCCAGCTCCCCAGAGTGTCAGGCAGGCTGGAGTTCCCTAGCCATGGCTTGCTCTCACTCCTTGTAGGAGGGCTGTGTGTACTGTGGATTGGGGCATCCTTTTGCATTATTAACTGCTCTGCATCAGAAAGAGCTGCAGTTTTGGGTCTTAATTGCAAAATGATACCTTGTTGAGAGCCCGCTCACCCTCCAAGCAAGTGTGAGAAGTGGGACAAGGCCGAGAGAGCAGAATTCAGAGGAGGCATGTTGAGGTGCCTGTGATTCCTCAACTGTAGTGTTAACAGCAGGTGCTGGCCAGTCCTGCTCACACCTAGCAGCCTCCGTCTGCCCTTTTCATTGACTTTAGCCCTTTCCTGACGTTTCAAGGTGAGTAGCTGCAAAAGGATCTGGTGGGTATTGAAAAGGGATCAGAAGAAGGGACGTGGAAACAATTGCTACCTGGCACTGCATCCAGCAGAGAGTAGGCACAATCCTGAGCTTGAGGAGTGTAGCCAGGGCTGTCGGGCAAGTGCCAGTCAGCAAAGAAATGAACCAGCTCCTGTTTGAAGAACAAACCATAGGAAATCTGTAGCGAAGAACCAACAACAGAATAAAATACAGCCAGTGTATAATAACACCACAGGTACAGTACAGCAACTACCCTCTTCCATATCTGCATGGTAATATATTTTCCAGAGTCCCAAACCAGTCTCCTGTGCCCTGTATATAAGGACCTGATAAAGTGGCAAAGCTGAGATATCAGATGTAGGATAAGGGGTTGTTTTAAAAGCCCTTCCTGCAAAGACCCTTTGGAAACTTCACTGGATCTAAAACTAAATTTCTATGGCCAGAGCTAAGAGCACAAAGTGGTTATGCAGCATTAGGAAGGGCAAGGCCTCGAGGGAGAGAGCTCAGGTGTTAAAGGGGCATTAATGAGGGAGAGGAAGTTTCTGCCCAAGCTGTTGAGAAGAGCCTGACACTCCCTGCCTGAATGCATTATCTTCCCCAAACATGGAGATTTCCTTAGGGCTTAGCTTGTGTTTGCCCTTTTCTCCCGGGAGCTTCTGACCTTAATGACGTTCCGAGGACCCAGCAGAGGCTATAAGATGCTCACGATCTCTTTCCTCTCAACCCCTCTTTTCTCTTCTGCATCCTGCTGTGACGCCTCGTTTCTCCTCCACCTTACAGTCCTCAGAGGATCCCTCCTCTTTGGACATGTTTTTGGGTGGTGCTGCAGTGTTCAAGTGTGGGTCAGACCATGCTCGTCTCCTGTGCACCCCCTGCGCTGTGGGAGGCATAGCCTGAATGTCCTGCCTAGGCCAGCAGCCACCTGAAGGGAGGATGTGCAAGACAACCAGTCCCTCCTCAAGTGGGTCCACCAGGCTTAGCTCCAGGCACCAGATAAGTGAGTACTGGCCTTCTAGTGCTAAGGGCTTGCATTTTGGGGTAAAGAAGGACTAAAGCCCTGTGGTTGCCCCAGCCACAGGCCTTGTCTCAAGCCAAGAGGTGGGCCAGGAGATTGTTGGGCAGCACTAAGATGGGGAAAGGTCTAAAGGGAGAGATTTGGCCCCACTGGAAAGGGGGTCACCTGGAAAATCTCTGGAGGGAATGAGGTAGCTGTCTTGTTTCTAGGTCTGTCCAAGAGAGGGCAAGCAGTCCAGGCCATTCTCTGAGCCAGCCGAAGAATCCCGGGAGGAACGGCCCTGGAGAAAGCGGATGATTTTGTCAATTGTGGCCTCTTGGTATTCATGGGACCATCTGTGATGGAGGGGAAAATCATAGTTAAATTTTCTGTTGTATGAGACACTGCAACATAGCTCAGCACACTTGGACCATGGGCCAGAGATCCCCTTCCTCCACATCCAGCCCAGCTCTCTAGGAACACCCCTTTTCCCTGTGGAAAATAGAGGAACACTAAATGTTACAGGAAAGCCCCCTTCCCCTGGACCCTGTTGGAGGGCTACGTGCAGTTTGGAAAGCTGGCCTGGAACGGTGCTACCCTACAGTGAAGCAGGAGGCAAAAGGCACCCGGTCTGGCTGGAGGACAGCAAACTGGGAACATGCCAGTGTCACTCTGCCTGGGGGACAGGGGTGGCAAAGATGGGTTTTCTCCCAGAGGAGGTTAGGCAGAAAACTCTGTTTATCCAGATGAGTCCCAAGCGCAAAAGCAGAAGGTTTACAGTGGGGACCTTTGCTCTCTTCATGCTCTGGAGTACCTCAAGTGACTCGCCTCCCCTTTGGCCTGTTCTGCCTCCCTCATCTGTTTCCCCCAGTTTTCTTGTGCGCCTTGCTACTGCTTATGCAAGCCACTCTGTTGTGATGCCAGGGTACCCCATAGCACAGGCTTCTCCTACTTACTTGATGCTGTTAAATTTCAGGACAGCTCTCATGTCCTCGGGAAGTGTCTGTGGATCAGGCCACTCAAAATGGTCTGTAACTGGCACAATATTCTTTCCAGAGTTCAGGGCTGTCACAATCTCCTGTGGGAAACGTGCAGTGCTCAGGCTGTGGCCTGTGTCGGTCCATCACCAGCCCTCTCCTGCTCACACCATGCTCCCATTTTCTGCATCTCTTACCTTGTGCACCCAGTCCTTGCATTCAGGGTCTCCCATGCATTTATCCAGTGCATTTGGTGAGAGGACCAGCACAAAATTGCGGGCACTCATGACACTCTGGATCAGCTTGTCCTCAAACTTTCCAGCCTCCAGCTTCTCCACATCGATGAACACGCTGAAGCCGTGCAACTGCAGGTGGACCTTCAGCAGGCTGGTGGTGAGAGGAGAAAGCATCGTGAGGAGCTCTGCCGCCAGTGCCTGGATTTCAAGCACTCTCTCACCACGTCGGCCGAGATGTGAGACAGAGGAGCAGCGAACAGGCTCCTGCACAGCACAGCATGGCACTGGGGATGTCAGCTGCCAGCCCTGCCCGCTTACAGGTGTCTGGGCTCATGCAGGAAAGACAAGGAGCAGGACATTAACTCCCTGCTGTGATCCTCTATAGCCCTATGAGCACAGCATAAGAAAAGGTAAATCAATGTCAAAGAGGGACAGAATGGTGGTTACGGGCCTGGGAGTTAGCCTGTTTGCCGTGCAGCTTTTGGCATTTGTTGCCCCTGTTTGCATTTTAGCTTTGGCAGCCCCCAACCCCCCACCTTCCTCCCAGCTGCAGCCTGCAGTGCTCCCTATCTCATGTGTGCAGCCAGCTCCAGGCTCTTCCGGTAAACTGTTCACCAACCTTTGCTCTGGGCTTCAACCCAGAATTATAGTGTTGCCCACAGGACCTACCTGGCTAGCTGGCACCCAGTGCTCCTCCGGTAGCTGATAAATACATCAGTCCCATTGGATGAAATTTGCGGCATTATAGGGGAGTGAAGCATTTCTAGACAAAGTGAATGGCAACCAAAAATTAAAAGTGCCCAGCAATTTGTCCCAACCCAACCCGGCCTCAATACTTGCCCCCATTGCCCCCACCCGCCTGCTTCAGGCTGAGCAGAGCAGCAGAGCCCGCACCCCTAGCAGCAGAGAGAATGCGGACGCGGTGGAAACCCAAGTCGATATGGCAGTCTTCCTGCAGCTGCTGCTCCGTCACACGGTGCAAGAAGTTGCGGTTGATGCCACATGTCAGCAGATTGTATGTGTACTGGCGAAACTTGGGGTCGATGCTGCCCAACCAGTCAGCCAGGTTGCTGCGGTCGCAGGTGGAATAGTTTGCAAACGTCTTAAGCTCTGTCAGCTCCCGGAAAAACCTGGCAGAGCAACAGATGAAAGGGTTGAGCGGGGAGGGGGAATTGCTGAACCAGACAGGGCCTAGAGATGCTTGATAACATATGGCTTTTATCTGCACAGGAGAGAGTGCACTTACATGCTGTGATAAAGAATGAACAAAAGAAATGGAGAAAGAGACAAACCAGCTGCCTGATTGTGGGAGCATTGACCATCAGAACACGGAGGCCTGAGGAGCTCAGCCAAGGGAGGAAAAGCCCAGGTAAGTTCCCATTTTTCTGGGTAATGTGCAGGATCTCTCCTCAATTTCTATGCAACAGATAATCACTCGCCATGCACACCTCTCTGGGGCATTGGCCCCATTGCAGGAATCCCTCTGGGCCTGCATACTGCACTGTCCAGGTCTCCCTCTGTTCTTGCCTTTGCAGGAAGAGAAGGGCATAAATCCCCCGGCTCTGCCACGGTGGTGGCTGCCAGGGAGAGGCCAGCGTGCGCTAGGAGTGCTCCTGGGATAAGTTCCTACCTCTTCCGAGTGATGCTGGAGTCCATCCCCAAATCCTCCTGCAGCTCCTTCTCTGTCAATCGCAGGAGTATGTCCCCATCCACCTGGTGGTCCTGCCAAGAGAACCACAGGCAGGGGCTGCAGAAACCTGCAGGGCATGCTGGGCTGGGAACAGCTCAGGGGTGCAAAGCCGTTGTCCCGCCACCGGGAGACAGCCGCTTTGCACAGCCTGCCTAGTCCTCCTGCAGCTCAGCCGGCTCTCACAGAATTAGCACGCCTAGGTCAGGACTGAAGGAGACCTGGCACACACAAGCCTCTGTCCCCAAGAGTTTGGTTCTCTCTGGGACAGCACCTCGACTCGGTGCCTACGGGGCTGTATGAGAGAGGAGGAAGGAAGGACGACTTCTGTGGAGAAGGGACTGGTGGCAGAAGACACTGTTCTTCCCCAGTAGCCTCCCTTAGTCCTGGAGCCCCAGAAGGGCAAGCAGCCATTCTGGCCAACAATTTCTCCGTCACCAAGTGACAATGTGTGTGCAGAGATGCTGGGACAGGGTGGTACAGGAGAAGCTTCTTGGGTTAGATGCTTCCACCTCTGCTGCAGGATGGAGCAAAAGGGCCCACCCAGCTGTTCCTCCCCTCGGCACGCGCCCTACCAGGAAGCTCTGGCAGTATTTGTTGAATCCAATCTGCTGCAGCCACGTCTGCACCTCAAAGGTTTTCCAGTTGGGAACAGTGGGCAGAATTCGCCGAGGCACCTCCTCCCCTATCATGCGCAGCACCTTTTTGGCCAGGGAAGAGGTGGTGCCACTGGTGGAGTAGCACACTATCCTCTTCAGGCTCTGTGTAGCCCCAATCTCACTGAAAATCTGGGGACACAAAGGAAAGACACATGACTTCGCTTCCCCCTCCTTGTCCCAATAACCTGTGCTGGGCCATCCTCAGGCTCAGGTACTCTGGGCTCAGAGGGGAACAAAGGACACCAGGATGCAATCGTGGAACCCCTTCCCTTTTGCATCTTCTTCCTGCTGGCCGACCTACCCTTTACCTTTGTTTTCTTCTGCCTGGTTTTGATGGCAGCCTCTGTGCAGAGGTAGAAGGCAGCGATGCACTGTGCCTCCAGCCGCGAGCTGTCCAGCAAGGGTACCAGGCGCTGCAGGTCATCAGCTGTCCTTCCTTGGCTGTTATCACTGCTGTCCAACATGTCACATGCAAACTGCCCTGGATCTACAGAGGCGATGAAGGGCTCCACTAGAGCTAGGGTCCCCGACCGCTCCACCTCCTTCTCGATTTCTTTGTTGGTGGCCAGCACCGTGATGGCCAGGCACGCATGCAGGCGGATCAGCTCATCATCCCTTGAGAACACCAGTGGGAAAAGCCACTCTGCCGTCTTCTTCTCAATCATGAGGCGCTGGTTGGCCTGCCCTCCATACATGGCACAGTTGGCCAAGGCCATGGCACAGTGACGCAGCACAATGGGGTCCGTCCAGCGGCACCAGTAGAGGATAGCATCCAGGCCTCCATCAGAGATGAGCTGGAAGCAGGTCTCCTCAGTGTGTTTGAACATATGCTCCAGGATGCCAGAGACGCTCTGTGCCAGCTGGGGAATGTCTCGCTCCTTGGCTAAATTCAGGATCACTCCCAGACCAATCCGAGCAATCCGGTCCCTGGAGAAAGGAGAAACACAGTCAGGTGAGTGGCAGATGGCTCTCCAAGTAGTGAGAATACTGGCTGGTGTGTGAACTCGCCCAGATTTCAGTGGTGTTTGCTGCATGAGAAACAAACATTTCCCTGCGGACCCCACTGCCAGATACGCTGCCTGGCTGCAGTGCAACAAGCTGGTTTTGCAGAGCCCATCTGGGTCTGATGGAGGAGCTTGTGGTGTGACAGCACGCGGGACGCACAGCCCAGGATCACTGCACCAGGGGCTCCCTTTTGCTCTGCATAAGAGGTGCAAAGCAAGCAACAGCCCAAGGTAAGTTAATGCTGGTCGAGAACTGTATCTGTTTACTCAGCCTCCCAAGGTGTGTGTGAACTACTCTGTGCTTGGGAGTGAACACTTGTTTGTCCCTAACCAGCGTTGTCACCTGGCTGCCTTCCAGTTTGGTACCGAGCGCGGGACAAGGTGCTTCTCGTGGGGCTGAACGACTGCTCCTGAAGTGTGGCAGTCCAGGCCATGATTGAACCTCAGGTCCTGGCTCTGTGCCACAAACAGCAGAGTCCAGCACCTCTACAGCCTTCTTATGACGCAGAGGCAACAGATCACGGCCCTGCCCTGCCACGTGCTCAGTGCGTAGCCATTACATGTCCAGGACATTGCCATTCTGCTGTCCGCTTGGACAGGCGTGACGCCTGCTCTCTGATGAAGACAGGGAAACAGCTTGCATGTGAACAGAGATATCCTGGTTGCACGACTGAAACTGCACATACGCTCTGGCCATGTGGCTGATGTGTGTGTGCGCCCTCTTGGGACTGTGACAACCGTGTTTCGGTCATATCACTGTACCAATGAGGTCAGCGTAACAGGGAGAGACTGCAGGGCCCTTGTGAAAGGAGGCCACGGGTTTGCGAACTGCCAGTAGTGCACGGGTTGCAGTGATCTCCCTGCCCGGTGCTGGGAGACGCAGGACTGGCTGCGGGGACACATGAGAAGCTAGTGGTAAGAAATGGGAACCTGACTGTCCTGCTGAGGACCGCCAGATACTGCTTGCGCGCGGCCGGGCTTGAGAGCCCTGTGCTATGAGGATGGTCTTGGAAAGATGCTTGGAAGAAGGGGGCTGTGCCCTAATGGCCTAGAGCGAGGAGGAGGGTGGAAATGACAGGACTGGGTGCTCAGCTGCACTCCCTCGGGTTGAGGGGACCTGGTGGCTGGGGTGACAGTGAGTGTCAGCTTTGTCTCTGGCCTGAGAAACAAGTGCTCTGGTGCTGTGGTGGATCTGCTCCATCTGCACCGCACGAGTGTTGGTGCAGATAGCTCTTACTGTGTTGCTTGTAAGGCTCAAGCCTGTAAGGCAGTGCTCTATTTCAGCCCCTGGCAGTGGTGGGGTTGAAGGCACACCAGCGTCTCCATACTGGCAGGCAGGAAGGGCATTTCTGGGAAGCCTGTGGCCTGCATGGCTCACGCTGACCTTGGGGTGGATTTGGCAGCAAACGCTGCGGAGAGCTCTGGGAAAAAAGTCCTCACCCTGAGGCTGGCTCCAAGCCCAGGTTCTGCCATGGCATCAGATGACAAACACAGACCCGTCGGGTCCCCAGGGCTGTGGGATGGAGCCGGTCCAGCTCCCGCCTGAGCCCTACTGCTGCAGCACTCGGGCACCAGTAGAGCTCTGTAAGTCGGAGGCTCGGACCCAGGAGCTCGGACCTGTGCCACCCTACCCTCACTCAGAGGTTAGCAGGAGGTTGGGGCAGAAAGCACCGGTGCTGTGGGGAGTAAGAGAAGGCTGGACCGAGGCCCCAGCACCCAACAGCTCTTGGAGCAGAGACAGCAACTCCTGCAGCTGCTTTCTCTTGCCAGGAAGTGATGTGCTGAATTCAGATCATGCCTGTGACGTTTTCTTGGATTAATTCCGCCCTAATGGACTTTCCTGGTTTAGCTCTTTGCCTCTCTGGGCCTCACTGAACGCAGTGGCAGGCAAAGGCTGTGCGCCCACCACAAGCCCAACGTGGTGCCCATCAGTCTGTGTGCTAAGCAATGTCCAGAGACAACCCGACCCTCTTAACAGCTCCCCTGCCCCAAAGCTCAGCATACCCCAGCTCTGCCTCAGAGCGCAGCTCCGGGAATGGGACTTTGGTAAATGTTTCCTAACCCCACTGATACCTGCAGACTTGCAGGTGTTCCTCTTCTTTACCAGGCAGCTCTGCATACCCACACCAGTGCCGTCTGGTGTGAGCCCACCCCTGCTGTGAGATCCCCGTGGACTTCACGGCTGCCACAGCAGGAGGTCCAGGGCAATGTCCCTTCCAGCTAATATGCACCTTCTCGAACAGCCCGAAGCCCTGGCCGAGGACGGAATAGGGCGATGCAGATGCCTTCACACAGAGCACAGCAGCAGGAGCTGTGCACTGAAAGGCAGAGGGGACCTGTCCTGGAAAATAAGGCAGAGCAGCCAGCGGGTCGAAAGCCTGCGGAGGGGATGGGGATGGAAACTCCCCAGCACGGAGGCCCTCGTGGTAAGACGCACTGCACATGAAGCTGGAGCAAGATTGTGAACTTTGGCCAGGCTTCCTCAACGTGCTGCCGAATGCCTGGCTTGGAGCAGGCTGGGCTGGGACCCGCTGCCACGGCTGCTGCCTCGCCCCGAGGACTGGAGCCACAGGAGCTATCTGTCAGCAGGGCGTTAGGAAAAAGAAGGAGCAATGGCCCCTGGGACAGGGAGAAAGCAGTGGCAGCGATGCAGGGCTCTGTCAGCAGGAGGGCACCTGTGAGTGGAGCCAAGGGCTGAGCCCATTTAAAGCTGTTCTGGGGCTGTCATCTGCAGGGCGGACAGCAGCGCTGGGCTGGAGCGCCTGCTGCGCTGCCTAAGTCCAGGGCCTGGAGCGAGCTGCCGCCCGAGCCGGTGACCCAAGGCTCCTCTGTGGTCACCAACAGAAATGGTGTCACAGGGACAGCACAGAGAGCCCAGACGTAAAAGCTGCAGCAAAAAGGGACAAGTGGTGGAGCTCCTCCCAAGGCCGTACCTGGCCACGGGCATGCCCGCGCCAGCCCTGTTCAGCTTGATCAGGCTGGGCAGGGTGCTCCCCGCTCGCTCGCGGCGTATGGACGCAGAGGGGCACTGGCCGAGCGGCAGCGAAGGGGGAGCGGCGAAAAAAAAACGGGGCGGCCAGCCCCCGGCACGGCGTGGTGCGGCCCCCCGCCCAATGTGAAGCAGTGCAGAGGCCGCTGCCTTCTAGACCCGCTTGGAGTAGATGGGGGTCTTGTCTCTAAGCAGGAGTCGGGCACGTTTGCCTGCACAAACCCCGGTGTAGAAAGATCTGAGGCAGGTGCAGCTCATGTCAGGTGGATGGCTTCTCCCTGGGGGC